CACAAAATACTGAAAAACGACAAGCTGTGGGAAACAATGGCTGGTTCTCAGTAGAGATACAAATTTGATAAGCAACAGCTAATCGCTAGTTAAGGTCAATGAAAGTTGTACTATTTGTGTTTATAGATATTGATGAATGCGCAGGTGTAACCTGTTTTAATGGTGGCGTTTGTATTGATGAAGTCAATGCCTTTACTTGCCAATGTGCAGCCGGATTTTCGGGAAATAACTGTGAATCAGGTATTTAACATAATTGTTTCAAACCTGATTTATTCTCTTCTAGTGAATCAAAACTTGGAAGAAATTGAAAATGTGCCTTAGGAAGTGGATATCTATATTATTTTGACAGAAACATTTTGAAGTTTCATAATTTGTAGCTAGACTGGCAGATTTGAAAGTGGTTAACTTTACTAAAGACGTAAAGCTCCATAGTCTGCTGTGCTGTTATACTGCTGTTGATTTTCAAAAATATTGACAAAACTAACTGCCTTGACTTCTGACTTTCTTAATAAGATAAGAGAAGATGTTGTTTTCTGCACAACAAAAGCGTTTTAACCATTTACACTGGTGTTGCTATTTTCTGTGTGTGAAAGCTCATAGAGACGAATGTTATATAATAATTTGGTTTCATTGCTGATTACAATCATATTGACAATTTGAAGTATACGCATATACCTATATAATACTATAAAACTCTTCTTTTAGTTATTGATCCATGCATGCAAAATCCATGTGAAAACAACGGCGTTTGCGAGAGTTCGTTGACAGACTACACATGTCAGTGTCCACAAGGCTACACGGGAGCAAGATGTGAAACAGGTCAGTCTAGTCATAATTATTTTATTATTGTCATATTATAAAACATGTAAACATAATATTAAATATATATGAACAATCAATGAATACGAAAAAGAGTTTGGAAGTTTTCCATTTAATATTTTGTGTGGATATTATTCAAAAGCTCTTATGCAGCAGCGGCGCCAGTGTCTGAAATTTGGGAGGAGGGGGAAAGATAGGGGCAAAGTAAAATGTTAGGGGAAATATGCTGGGGTAGCCCGAGGTGGGCGTGGTCGGGCTTCGCGTTAAATGTCTCGAAAGCGGTCGGAAGTGAAGCCCCCGAAAGAAAATAACAATTAAGGATTTTAGATACTTATTTAATCGATTTTAGAGATAGTCTACTAATAAGCTTATATAGAAAATACATATAATTTCTTTTTTCTCCCTGACGAATTGTGTTTTTTCTTCTTTTGGGGG